AGCCATAGTCTAAACTCTTAGTACCCCCCCCTGTATGAGTCCTATAGTAGTCCCTTTTTTGACCCCTTTTAGTTTAGACTATAGCTTGAATGTTGCAGAATTTTGTGTTTGTTTTTTGCATTCCCCAGACCCTAACCCCTAGAACCCCTAAACCCCTTAAAGGGACATAAGGTCCTACAGTAGTTTTCAATGTCTTTTTAATTTCCTTCACTTAACCTTAAACTTGCGTCATTTTTGTGCAGGGTCTAGGGTGTAGGATTCAGGGTTGAGGGCTTAGGAGTTTAGGATTCAGGTTCAGGAATTATGGTTTAGCATTCAGGGTTTAGGGTTGAGGGTTTAGGGTTAGGAACATGGAGAAGCAAATGGAAAAGAAAATTGAACATGAAATGGAGACTGGGTTTGTATGGTACTGATCAACATTGATATAGGCCCACAGGATGCCGGAATACGTTCCCCTAAAGGACTTTTACATCAATCCGAAATTGTGATAGGACCCGACTGTATTGCCCTGACATCTGTAGTATTATGGGTTCTCCTAGCCATCCCTCTCTACTATCCCCTCAAGTTCCCCCTTGCTTAGCCTTGGGAAACTCTAAGAAAACCTAATCAAGGGAGAACCCGGTGCGGGACAGTATAGCTGGGGTGGCTAGGAGAAAGCATAATAGTTGGGGTCAGTGCCCAGGAAGGTGGGTGGTCGATTCTGTTTAAACGGCCGTGATCATGTTGATGGAGGTCCTTTGCAGAGCAGGATGTGAGGCTGGAAGTCCAGCTGCGGCTCCCTTTAGTAGGGAATACGGGAATATAATCCCTATCTAACCCCGATATAATACATACCCTTATTCCCTACTAAGAACTAGTAAGTGGAGTCAGAGTCCATGATCTGGGCTCTTAGTGTTTTGAGAAATGAAATAAGTACATGCTCAGGAGGGATGCCCACTTCCTTGTTGTCAGTTGTTCTACAGTATGACCCATGCAAAGACTCCCGGGTAAAAGCCACTGTCCGACTCTTGTCCAAGAATGGCTATAACATCCTGTCCGTTTTGGCAAGGAACGCGCCATGGAACATCAACGTCGAAACACAGCTGCGGCCTCACAATCATCTAGGCATGTAGGACTGTGGTCCTAGATAGACAGCTCTTCGTGCAAAGGAACTGCGTAAACAGGCGTCTCAAATGACCCACATGATCTTGACGCCTGAATCCTTAGCTGTGTGTGTGTGTGTGTTGAGGATCAGAGTCAAGTGGGTTGTTAGCATGGCACCACGGAATCATGCAACATGCGCTTTGGGAGTTCCTCAAAGACATTGTGATTTTTTTACTCAAGCCAGTTACTCCCTTAACCCTCAACCTCGCCAAGCCCTAAACTCCGAGACAACCTGGCTTAGCCTTTTCTAAGCTGGGTCTGCCTTATTAGCTGCGACTTGAAGCGTCTACATTCCTGCGTATGCTACGTGCAGGTAGATGGTAATTTTCAAGGTCGTGGGGATCATAGGTATGTAGCGCTTGTTTTAGGGGTCTTCATGGTAGCTATATGAAGATTAGGCTGTCTTTGGTAGTCTAGTATAGTCTAAAATATTCCAATAAAGGAACCAATGCCCATTAAATTATATGCGGGAAATATTGATTCTAGCGCCAGACCCTAAAAAGTGGCATCCATTTCATTTTCCATCTTCTTTTCCATTTGATTTTTTCACAAGAGTACCCTAAACCCTAAACCTTAAACATGCTGTCGTTGGTTCAGCTTCTGATAGGATCCGAGCGCTTCATCATCCCTACACATCGGACCTCCTAAACCCCCAGACCTGCAGAAACAACCCTAAACCGGGTTTAGGCTTCAGGGTTTGGGTTTAGGGTTCGTAGTTTCCATTTTCTTTTCCATCATCCCTATATATCCCCTATGTAAACCAAATATATAGCCCACATCCAAAGTTCTAAGCTCAGAATCCTCAAGCTTCAGCTCTCAACTCCAAATCAAAAATCGCAAGACCTATAGTTCCCCTTAAGTAGATAGAATATGGCTTCGGGTATATTATAATAAGATCCCCATATATCCCCCATATTCTCATTACTTCAGGGGGACTATACATTCTAGAGCCTAAGCTTGCAGCCTCCGTCCCCAAAACTCGAATCCTAACCTTAAACCCTAAACCCTAAACTCTCAAGCCCGCAGAAACTTGCCATTACATAGGGGTCTCAAATTGCCTTAGTCTCAACATTTCAAAACTTTAAAGTTAAAATGACTACCCACCCAAAAGATCCTTAAGTAATGGTAATAAACCCTAAGACCTTTGAAGCCTTGAGGCATGAGCCATCCAAGTACAGAGGCAAGTGGCAGAACCACGTTTATTTTCCATCTCCCAAGGACGCGGTTCATTAGGGTCCAGGGTTCAGGGCTTTGAGTTGAGATGCAGGGTTTAGGGTTTAGGATCTCCAGTTTCGGGATTGGGGCTTGGGGTTCAGGGTTGAGGGCCAGGGACTCATATGAAGTTCTTCGTTTTGAAAGGTCTTGTTGGCCTTTTGGTAATGGATAATATTCCTTTAGCCCAAAATGACCTGCATAGGAGGCTCTGGGTAGGTTTTCGAGTGTGGCTCAGGGTCTTCTGTTAAGGTTGGGAGTTTATGGGTTTTTCATGTTGGGGCCGCAGGTAGAGGGAAAGGTGTGGTCTTACTGTTGACTGCAGTGCTTATTGTTTTCTATAGAAAGGTGCAAGCAGGATACTTTTGGGATAATGGAAAAGAAAATCGAAACTACTATTTAGGGTTTAGGGTTGAGGTTTTAGCGGTGCAAACAGGATAGAGGTGGAAGCTTGAAGAGAAGCAGTAGTCTGCTAGTCTTTGAGAGGGTTATGTTTTGTTGGACAGGGCAGGCGTCAATGCACGTAGAGCAGCGCGCAAGGCGATAACAAAATGTTTTGTTGGAACTCTGCGGCCGCTGCATACTGAGAATTGAGGTGATTCTCACAATGCGGGACGATAATTAGATGGTTTCCCCAACATAGTAACCTAGATGAAGTTCCCAAACCCAAAGCTCTAGACCCTAAGCCCCCAACCATAACCCTAAGCCCTAAACAAACCCAGTTTAGACCACTGATGTACTTAAATATAGTGTCGAAGCAGGAGCTTGCTAAGGAGCTTGCCAGGTCAGCTACTTTTGCGTTTGCGATAATCAAAGGAGCTATAGCCTTGGGGATATTAAGTGAGATACTAAGAGTTTTTCCACTATAGCTCAAATGATCATTTGTCAGGTTAACGATGGGGATAACTGGGTTTATTTTGGACCTTGAAGGTGTTTCGAGCGTCCTTTGTAAGTCCCCTGATCGTCCAAGTACATCTTGCCGGGCATAATGCCTGATCACACCGACTGCTTTGAAGGAGCTCGTCTCCTGCGCCTAAAGTAACAAACAAGGGCTTAGGGGCTAGGATTCAAGGAGAACGATCACCAAGAATTACAGAGGACCTCGATAAACCCTATTCTAATCAATTCATTACAACCCGTATAAGCCACTGTATAAACCAAGTTTGCAATTGCCACCTCCAATGTTTTTATCCCTAAACCCAAATCCCACCCTAAACCCTAAACACCAGCCCCCAAACCCCAAACCCTGAAGCCCTGAACCCAAAGCCCTAAGCCCTAAACCCTAAACCGTGCAGTAGCGCAGGACTGGCGATCCTTGTCCATCTATCAGCTGATCACAGACAGAGCCCTGCCCAGAAGGTCATGGGTTCCCAGAATATACGGTTTAGGGTTTGGGGTTTAAGGGTTTAGGGTTTAGGGGTATATGAGCTACAGTCTAAGCTCCTTAAATGGGCTTGTACAGGGGATCATCTTGGGGAGTGTTATAGGGGTTGTTAAGGATACTAGGAGTTTAGACTATGGCTCATATAGGGATGAGGGCCTAGGGTTGAGGGTCGTGGGTTGTTTATAAGGTTTAAGTTTTCCGAAAATTGGGGTATATTTTTTGCGGGTTCTTGAAGTGTGGATGATAGTATTTGGGGGTCTCTATCGGGTCCCCCATGTACGGAAACTGCTGCATAAGGTTTCATTGTGCTTTGTAAGGTTCACGGTTTGCGGGGTAAGTTTCCCAGGGCGCTTTTCCCGTTTAATTAAGGCATATTACTTCTGTCAGACTGGGGATCTTGTTATAATTCCCTAAGCCCTGAGCCCTAAACCTGGACCCTGAAGCCTAAACCCTAAACCTAACTAAGGTCTAGTGGGATATCTGGGTTTCTAGGGTCGCTGAAGGAAACTACCGCAGTCATGTCATTTTGGACCTTTTACTGCGTGTCACGGGGATGATGTAGGGACTATTGTAGGGTTGGCACTGTCCCGATCCCAACCACGCATGAACAAAGTTGAGAGGGTTTTGGGGTAGCATAGGGTTGTGTTTGCGGATTTAGGTTTCAGGGTCTGCACAACCCTAAACCCTAAACCCGGAACTTAGGAGGAGTGTAGCGTTTAGTGTTGGGTGTTTCGGAGTACAGGCTTTACCATGGGTTCCCTTACCGCCGCAGGGTTTTGGGTTGCCAGGGCTATTTGGGGATGATTAAGGCTGGTTAATTGAGGCAAACGAGCGGGGAAGGAAGGGAACCCATGGTTTTAGCGCTGAGGACCTACAGTCCAAGGAGGGTAGCGGTTCAGGTTTGAGGTCTATTATTATTACTACTAACATCATCAGAATTTGTCATCCAGCGCTTGGAAGCCTTTCTAGTTGGCAGATTCCCTAAAGGTATTCCCAAAATAGAGGGAACCCAGTATGGACCCCCAAAAACTGTAATGCTTATTTTTGCGACGGTAGCCCTAATCTTGGGAAACCCCCAAATCCCAAATCTCTAAACCCTAATCCCTTAACCCTAAGTAACCCGAAACCCGATCTGAGGATTTGCTGATGGCGATCCTCGCAACAACGAACTCTTCGAAGGAGGCTTTGACGTGCGAGATATGACCTTCAGGTGCTGGCCTTAGCGTGTGGGTTTAGGGTTCAGGATGTTTAGGGTGTAAGGTGTTTAGGGTTTAGGATGTTTAGGGTTTAGGGTTTAGGGTGTTTAGGGTTTAGGGGTAAACCTTTAACACTAAACCGCTCGGTCCCAACCAGGGGCAAGAGGGTTTTGTTCACGATTGTCAGGTTGGCATGAAGCAGGCCTTGAACTGAAGATTTGACCAGGTAGGAGGTCATGGTCCCGCCAAATTTACTATAGTAGTTTCCATTTTATTTTCCATTATCCCAACATAACCCCAATATAAGCCTAATATCCGTCTAGAGGCTTATTAGAAGTGGGATGTCCGCATGCGCCTTCAGACCCCGAAGATTCCAAACGACAAGGTAATCCTACGGAACCTCCGGTTTGGGGTTTAGGGTTTAGGTGTTTAGGGTTTAGGGGCGGAACCTCCCTTGATGCAAGTGTTTTGGAGAGATGGCAGCGACGCCATGGGGCTCATGAGCCCCTAAACCCTAAGCCCCAAACCCGAAACTGCATGCTATGACCCTAAACCTTTAACCCTAAAACCCTAAAACCCTAGACCCTAAAACCTTAAACCCTAAATACCTAAA